AGTTACAGACACAGATTCAGGTTGTTTTTTTATTACTAAAAAAACGGACGACAGGCAAGAAATTTTTCGTTCAAAAGTAGAAGAATGGAGTTATTTTTTAAAAATTGGAAAACAATGGATGACTTATTCCAATTATCCTAAAACACACAAATTTTATTTGACTTTATATGCTAAAGAAAGCGATCATTTTCAAAACGAAGTTCCTTCTTTGTCTTATATAGGACAGATTTTTGCTATGGCACCTAAGTGTAAGAGCAAACAAGTTATAAAAAAAAAGAAATTCAAGATAAAGGTCAAGACGAACACAAAAACAGAGCAAAAGAATTACCCAATTACAAATTATGTTACACGCATTACATTAACGGATTTAATACGCATAGAGCCGAAAAAATGTTTAGAAATATTAATCAATTAGAAAACGAACTACAACCCTTTTTACAAAAAAGATTTGGTTTAAATTTTAAAGGTGTTACCATTAAGGAACACGTTATTCATTTTTTAAAAAAATTTATTCAAAAAAATTATGTATTTGATGACGATTTGTTAACAGAAATACGCGATTGTTATCGCATAGATCCGATTCGAGACGCTAATTTAAAAGTATTACTGGATATCGAAAAATTTTGTAGCGATGAACATATACAAGCGTTACTCGAGATTGAAAAAAATATTATAAAATCATCGGAACGATACAATACAATGATTACGTTTAATCGAGAAGTTTTAATACCTTTATTATATGATATAAAAAAACTAATAATTATAATAAAAAAATATTAATTTTTTTTATTGTAAAAAAAATTGTAAAAAATGGAATATAATTTGTTTGATGAAATATTAACTGTTAAACAACTCGAATACAAGTTAAAAGAAATTAGTTTTAAAAATTTTTACTTAACAGAAAATGCTAAAGGAGAAAAAGGCAAATATTACACTTGCAAATTAATATGTGTTAATTTTAACGGACGAATTCTTATACCTGACACTTTTTTTGAATGTACAGAATGTTTTGTTTGTTTTTTTAAAAACATAAATTTTGTTGGCTGTTTTAAAGACAGTTGCGATATATGTATTTCTCAATCTCAATCTAATAAAATACTTTACACACCAAAAATACACAAAAGTAATTGTATTTTAGATATATAAAATGAATAAAAAAAATTTTAGTCAAGACAAAGTCGAAAAAAATAAAAAATTAATCTACAACAACTTATTTTTGTTGGATATCAAGATATAATATTTATCAAGAAAAATAGGTAGTGTTTAGAAAAGATGTAGAAAATTTTTAAACGTTAAAGAAGGAGATCTTGAGCTCATCGATAATGATTACGATAAAACTATTAATCGATGTTTTGAAATGTTTAAAATAAGCGTATATCAAAACAATTTAACAATGGAGCAATTGTTTTAAGTATTGGAAAGTTTACCACGTGATGATATTAAAAGAAACATTTTTAAAATATATTATTAACATTTTTTATTTTGTAAAAAAAATTTTATATTTTTTTTAATAAAAAAAATGTTTTTAGTCATAAAAAAATTGTAGTTATATTTTTTTATTAATATAAAAAATGGAAGAAAAAGAAGAAAAAATTGAAACTAAATCAGTAGAAAATAAACCTCCTGAAAATGAAAAAAAAGATTCGAGAACGTTAACAGAAATATTAAACAAAAAATGATTTCACAGTTTTTATTTAAAAGGTAAAAATGAAGAGCCTGAAACTAAAGACAATGTTTTGTTAACACAAATCAAATTTAATATTTTTAAACCTTCGAAAGATGTTTATCCTGGTTAGCAGACTTTAACATCCCTCAGAATTAGGCCGTATTTTTCGGTTACCGTTTCTAATTTTATTTATTCTAATAACCACGTGGTAACGGCGAAAAACATTAAGTAGTTAAGATTTTAAAGATTAATATAAGGTTTTTTTAATTAAAAAAATTAGAAGCATGGATGAATTAAGTAGTTATGAAAACAATGGAAGTATGAGTAGTTCTGAATATACTATTTCAGATGAAAGTGAAAGTATAACAGGTTTTTAATCAGCATTTTATCTTTTTAAATCGTTTTATGTAGGTTTTTACTCAGCATTTTAATCCTTATTAAAAATGACATATGTCATGTTTAATTAGGATTCACGTAATACGTTTATGTACAAAAACGTTATCTTTGTTGTTTAAATAGCCATAAACATGTTTTGACAACAATATTTAATAGGATTAGGTAAACCCTAATAAAAATAGTATAATATTTCATCAACAAAAAAGCACCATTAAATGAAAATTTTTTTGTTGATGAAATATTATACTATTTTTATTAGGGTTTACCTAATCTTATTAAATATTGTTGTTAAAACATGTTTATGGCTATTTAAACAACAAAGATAACGTTTTTGTACATAAACGTATTACGTGTTATCCTCCTAATATACATATATTACATGTAATATATTTATGTTTTCATTAAATAGTATATGAATATATATATATATATATATATATATATATATATATTTATATATATATATATATATATATATATATATATATGTATATATATATATATATATATATATATATATATATATATATATATATATATATATATATATATATATATATATATATATATATATATACATACATAAACATGATAAAGATATAATATAGATGAGTATAGTATAGTAAAATATGTTTAATATGAATTAAATAAATAAATAAAAGATAAAATATATTTAAAAAATACAAAAGATCTAGTAGAAACTAGATCTCTAAACTTTCTCTAAAATCTCTAAGATCTCTAAAAGATAATCTACTATATTCAGTTTACAGATCTAGTTTGTAGAAAAAATTTTTTTTACTTATTCACCAGTTTTTTATTTTAAATTAGAAAACATTGAAGAAAATACAGGCACTCAAGATACAAATTCTGCAATTTACCTTAATAAAGGTTTGTATAATATTTAAACATTAAATAAAAATGTTATATATATATATATATATATATATATATATATATATATATATATATATATATGTATATATATATATATATATATATACATACATATATATATATATATATATATATATATATATATATATATATATATATATATATATATATATATATATATATATATATATATATATATATATATATATATATATATATATATATATATATATGTTAAAACGTAAAAGTTCTTATAATTGTTTATTAATTTTATGTAGATGGAAAAAAGCAATTCATTTATCATTGTAAATCCCACGAAGAAGCACTTCAATATATTAAAAAATATGAGTTAGCAACAACAACACGATTTGTGGTGTTTAAGGCGAATAAAAATTTTGGAGCAACTGGTGTGCTAGTTTTTTGATATAAAAATGTTCAAAATAATATATTTTAAAATATTTTAAGTCAGTTTATTTAAATTTTTTTTACACTTTAATAGATTAAAAAAGTTATGCTTTAGAGATTCTTACCAAGACTCATAATGTACTTTGGGATGATTTTGCTATTCCTTATTCTGGGATGCCTTTCATAATAGTTTCAAGTAAAGTTTTAGATTGTCATCATGGGTTCGATCGAAATATTTTATTAAAAAAAAAAATCAACAAAAGAAAAGAAAAATTAACGTAATACATTACTTTTAAATCTTTGGTATCATTCTTTTCTTTAATAACTTTTAAAATCAAAACAAGTTTTGAAAAATATAATGTATAATCTACTTTAAATGTACTGAATAACTGTTTGGTTATAGATGGATGACCACTGCTTTCAAAAAAACTACGTTATTTTACAAGATACCAAAAAGTTTATGTGTCCTGCAAAAATCAATATGAGAGAAATATTGCAATTTGCTGATTTTAAGGTACAGGTTTAGTATATAAATTATTTATTAAATAATGATATGTTATATGTATTAAGAAATCCTAAAACAGTAAAATTGTATTCTCACTTTTTATATATTTAGATATCAGAGAGGTCTGTATGGCGTCAAAATAAAGCCTCAAAACTGTTGCGTGAATAACTAAAAACCTCTGCATTTAATGAAATATTGCATATAAGAACAATTGTAGTTACTATTGATGATGTATCATGCCATAATAAACATCTTGTTGGACCAGTATAAAAATATAAAATAGTTTAATTCTAAATTGTAGATAATTATTCAACCAATATATATATATATATTTTTTAAGGCTGAACTGATAGCTCAAAGTATTGATCCTCTAATTTCCAAAAAAATAAAAAACTATGTTATGGAAGGAGTATTTAATGTAAGAGAGATGAAACGTCTCCTTCGGATTGCTGTCAATGACATTTTTGAAAAAGAAAATCTTCCTCCTCCAAATAACAAAAGGTTCTTCCCTCGTGTTAATACAATAAGGTCACATATTGTTAAAATCAAACAAAAGTTAAGGTAATTCAATAATTATTAGATTACCAGTTATAAAATAATTAATTTTAGTTTAATATAATATAATAATATAATATCATAATTTTAATATAAAGATAATTTTTAAATTTTTCATGTATTGCTTCATGTTGTAATTTTAGGCAAAAATGCAAATCTTTCATTTTTTTATGATCTTTTAGCGGCTCCAGGGTCAATTTGCGACTCAATTTGCAAATCAAGACCTGCTTCGATTCAAAAACCTTTGGCTGCTCCAGGGTCAATTTGCGATTCAATTTGCAAATCAAGACCTGCTTCTATTCGAAACTAAAAATGCTGATTTGCAGGGTCCAAATATATATATATATATATATATATATATATATATATATATATATATATATATATATATATATATATATATATATATATATATATATATATATATATATATATATATATATATACAGTGCTCAAAGTGGAGAAAAAAAAGTAATAGGGTGGTATTCGGTAATTAATAAATACCATCCCGCCTAGTCATTGTTATATATATAGATTTGTAAAAAGGTGGTGAGATTGTTTATACTTTATAAATAAGTGATGGGATGGTGTCCCGCTGCATCCCGACTCACTTCAAGCACTGTATATATATATATATATATATATATATATATATATATATATATATATATATATATATATATATATATATATATATATATACATACATACATATATATATATATATATATATATATATATATATATATATATATATATATATATATATATATATATATATATATATATATATATATATATGTATATATATATATATATATGTATATATATATATATATATATATATATATATATATATATATATATATATATATATGTATATATATATATATATATATATATATGTATATATATATGTATATATATATATATATGTATATATATATATATATATATATATATATATATATATATATATATATATATATATATAATATATATATATATATATATAATATATATTATATATATGCATGTGTATTATATATATTTTAACAATAACATACTTATCTTAAATTGCCTAGATATTCTTTGATTGATCAAGAGTGTCTACTAAAAAAGTGTGACGACTGGAAAAAATGCGATCCTTCCATAAATGTGTTTCTCCGACCGAAGTCCGAAACCATAAGCTATGTCAGTGAAACGTTTCTTTTTGTTTATCAGTCACTCTGGCAACAAGAACTTCTTCTACGTTATGGAAATGAAATAGTGCTTCTTGATGCTACCTATCAAACTACAAGGTATTCTCTTCCTTTACTTTTTTTAGTAGTGAAGACTAATGTCGATTACCAAGTTATAGCTACTTTTGTAATTGAAAACGAAACAAAGAAGTCTATCACAGAAGCATTAAATATAATAAAGCATTGGAACACATCATTTAACCCTGCTTTTTGTATGACTGATTATTGCAAAGAAGAAATAGAATCCTTGCAATCTATTTTTTCAGGTAAAAAGTTTATATTTGTCCAGAATCTCTGTTCAAATTAATATTTTTTTAATAACTGCTTAAAAATTTTACTTAATAAAAATAAATTACAACTTATTGCCTAATAACTTTATGAATAGTGCTGATTATTCTTTAGCTTGTCGAGTTATCATATGCGATTTTCATAGAGAGCAGGCATGGGATCGCTGGCTTTTCAAAATCAAAAATGGCTGTTCTGAATTTAAAGGCAGCATAATTTCATTGTTGCGTTGTGTTGCCACAGCACAAACTGAAGATCACGCAAAAGCTGCTATTGAGTCACTACATTCTTCAAACTTTTGGGTAGAAGAAAAATTTGATAAATTTAAGAAATATATTACAAATTATTGGTTAAGTATTAAAGAAGTAATTATGTTATTTACCTTACTATTAATAAAGCTTAATAAATCTCTCTTTATGATCTTGATTGCAATATATATGTCGATTGTAATGTCATAACTTAATGATAACATTATTTTAATGTTATGTTTATATTATTCATAATTTTTTTACTTTTTATCTGAGTCTTTATGCATTATTTTTTTTCACAATAATGTTTCTTTTCTTATGTAGACAATTTTAATTGATACACTTATTTTATTTTGCCTAGAAATGGATATGGGCTTATCGCCGTGATCGATTGTTAGTAAATTTAAATACTAACAATGGGATTGAACGACAAAACGAATCATTCAAATACTCTTTTCTTCAACGACATAAAAACTCTTCTATTACTGGCATGCTAACTGTGTTAATTGAAGAATTCTTTCCAGATAAATTAGAACAGTAAGTATTTAATTGTCAATTATAACTGTTCTCAACTTCAATGCAATTGAAAAAATGTATTTTTTTTGTTTATACACTTTAGTTATTCAGAGTCCAATTTCAAAATGAATTGTCAATACAGACGTTATAGTAACAACATCCCTGAATACTTACATAATAGGCCACATCATTTTGTTAAGCATTGTTTGCAGAAAATTGATTTGGCTAACAAAACTGACTTAGATGTAGTATTATTAAACGATCATGGATTGTTTAAAGTCAATAGCTTTTCAGATAAAAATAAAAACTACATTGTTTATTTTGGAGATAAAGATACAATGCCAAAATGTAGCTGTGTTGCCTGGTCGCAATCAGCCTACCTGTACAAGCATTTTTTCCTAATATTTAGAAAATATCCACAGGCTTGGTCTTGGCAATTATTATCATCTTTATATAGGGAATCCCCTTTTCTTAATATTGACATTAAAAATGACTTGATATTAAAGGAACCATTCATATACAAATGCAATCATGTAAAAAATTATATTAATGAAAATGATATTACTGACAATAATACTAACTCTATCCTTTCAACCCCTGATACAGTATCTTTAAAACCTTCTGATGAAATTAATTGTAAAAGGGCTTTTGCTGTTTCAGAAGTACGTGAAATGCTAGCAACAATTAAAACTCTGACATATGATTTTGATGAAGCATCTGAAGAAATTAGCGATTTACATAAAAAACTATCAGATATTCTTGAAACTCTATATCGAGCAAGAAAAAAAGAAAAAGGTCTACCTGTTAGGGATAAAAAAGCCAATGACTACATACCCAATAATCTATCAAAAGTAGTTGAAATACCTAGTCTTAAAAAAAAAAAAATTTCTCACAGGTTAGGAAAAAAAAAAGATTTATTGCTCTCATCATGTAGCATCAAAGCTGATTGTGCTGTTCAAGAACCACAAATACAAGAGTTTGTTATTACTGATGATATAATAGCAGGGCAATCAACTTTTATAACTGATTTGTTAGATTCAACAATTACAGAGACCTTTTTAACTGATGGTGATAAACAGAAGGTAACATCAATTCCTATGCCTATAGCTAAAGATTTAGAAGATTTATCAAATATTGAAAATGTTTTATCTGGTGATGATAACATAAAAGTTACTTCAAGTCATACACTAGGAACTAAGGATATAGAAGATATTTTAAGTAACAGAATGTTGTCTGATAGTGTTATTCAATATTTTCAAAATTTGATTAAAAAAGTTCATCCATCTGCAAATGGGTTGCAAGATCCAATACTTGGACAAAAACTTTTTTTTAAGGTTCAAGGTTCTCAACCATTTGTTCAGGTTTTGTTTAATGGACATCATCACTGGCTTGCTGTTAGCACATATGGTTGCAAATATGGAGAAGTGTATGTACTTGACAGCAATTTTCAAGGATCTTTATCATTAGATACTCAGAGGCAAATATGTTATCTTTTAAGTTATAACATGTCAGCAATTAAAGTAAATGTATTACCAGTTCATCAACAAGAAGGAAATGTTGATTGTGGTTTGTTTTCATTAGCTTTTGTAGATTATATTTTATCGAACAATAAAAATCCAGTCGATGATGTTTGGTTCAACCAAAGAAAATTTAGATCTCATGTTCTTGAATGCCTGCAAAAAAATGTGATGAGACCTTTTCCACTTTCAAATTCTGCAAAACATAGATGTAATGCAAAACAATTTTCTTTAAAGCTATACTGTTCTTGTAGAATGGTTTGGACACCATCAGATGGCACAATATATGGAAAGTTAGTTTTTTAAAATATATATGAGTGCATAAAATAATATATAAAGATATATATATATATATATGTATATATATGTATATATATATATATATATATATATATATATATATATATATATATATATATATATATATATATATATATATATCCTATATGCGATGCGATGCGATGGCATCCCGCCTCACTAGAGCACATAAGTCCTCTAGTGAGGCGGGATGCCATCGCATCAATTTTTTATTAGATATAAAGCATCTTTTTTTCATCCACCTCGTGCACATATATATATATATATATATATATATATATATATATATATATATATATATATATATATATATATATATATATATATATATATATATATATATATATATATATATATATATATATATATATACAGAAGTTCTTTTCTAGGCAAATGGCTCAATGTTGGAATTGTCGAAATTGGTTTCATCGATGTTCATCATCAATGTTGGAATTGTCAAAATTGGTTTCATCGAGATTGTGAAAAAATTCAGCAGAGTTGTTTTGATAATAAAAATAAAATTTGGAAATGTCATGATTGCTACAGAGAATTTGCAAATAACTAATGACTTGGTAAATAAGATTATAGTTACACGAAACTTCTTTAAAGATCTTTACTAGAATTAGGTTGAGTTCTACACAAAATTTAATGTACTGATTAGTTATTATTAGGATTTTATGTTATATTTAGACCATATTAAATTCTTACTATTACCTTTTTAAATTTTTAAATTTCAGCAAAGAAATCAAAGGCCATTTTCCAGTTCTGGTGGAGAAAAATAAACAAATGATAACTGATGCTACTTCAAAAAACGGTTATTTTCATAGCCACATTTGTTTAAAAACATTATAGCAGCTGAACATTTGTTAATTTCTAAAAGTGCTTAAGGATAGTAACATCAAAGACGTTAAGTTTAATTTTTTTATCAGTTAATAATGAGGTAAATTTTTATACATTTTATGTATATTAAATGATATATTTTATTAAATGCTTTTCACAGCAAATACATTGATTGTCTTAAGAAGGCAAAAAGATAACGTTGTGTAAGTTTTTTATAAGGTTATAATTTTTTATTATATATTTGTAATATTTTCAGTAATACTGTTATTTTTTTATTTTTTTCCAAATTTATCTTTGTTAAACTAACTTTGACTTTCAATGCAACAAAGTATCCTGTGACTTCAACTCACTTTCCGTTAAATTTACGGTAAGTTTCATTCGTGTTGGGTAAAGTGACTAAATTTAAGTCAATTATCACGTTCCATTTTCAATATAAATTCTTGATATGTAATACCTGTGGCATGTAAGATATTTATGTTAATAGGTTTTCATCATTTAATATAAATTTTAATTTAAATTAATATAAATCATTTAATATAAATATTTCTAACAGCGTATGATTGTCTTAAAGACCTATTTGTTAACATCTTTTTAGGAAAAATTGCAAAAACGTGGCTTCTTTTTTAGAAACAAAATTGTAAATAGGTGCCATAGTTAGGTCATTTTATTCTAAGTGGTTGTCCATTAATTACGTCAACAAATATTTGGCAATTTTTACCTCCCCCTCTCCCTCTTGTCAAACTTTCAGTGACCTCCCATAAAATTACGCCAACATTTGATAAAACCCCCTCCCCCTTCCAAAAAAATAATACAAAACAAAAAGTTATTTTTTTTAAATTAAATAGTTTACAACTGAAATAAAAAAATGGTTAAAAGTAAAATATTTAGAGAACAAAATGTAAAAGAAGTTAGGGTTCAGTGGATCAAGGGGCACAGTGAATAAGAGGCATTTTCTCCAAGACTAGATTTTTGTTTATCTTGACAATGTAATTATTTCATGAGCTCATATATAAGCCACCTTTATTTATAGTTGTTTACACAAAATTTTTGACTACCGATTTTTGGTAGTAAATTTTTGTTTTTAGCTTACAAAAGTATATATTTTTACCCTCCTTATGTTTGTTATGGAGTTCACGGTTGATATAATTCTAAAAGTTGATGTTTTTCATTCGAAATATTGATAATTGTGTTTCCTTTTATTAGTTTAGCTTTTCCTTTAAACTTTTCTTTCCTTAAACACTTATGTCCCAAGAAATTAGACTTTAACTCAATTTGTTATGGAGGGGCACAGCAAATTGGGGTACAATGAATAGGTTGATTCGCTGTGCCAAATCAATAATCCTAAAGATTAAATTTATGCATTTTCAACAAACAAACAATATGAAAACAAATTAAAATGAAGGGAGAACTCCTTTCTACAGTTATTGGAAATAATTAAAAAGCGGCATTAATTCCATTTTTATTAGAATCTGATATAAAAAATTCAGGCAAGATGGTTGGAAACGGACAACATTTTCTTTTTTTCTTAAAGAAAAAGATAAAACCACTTCACGCCTCCACGCAGCTGATCAAAGTTGTCATTAAAAAAGTAAATAATTGTTTAGAAAAAGTAAATAATTTTTTAGCAAAAAAAAACACAAATTTTAACTTTTATATTTTATCAAACCAGTCAATTAAAACAAAACAATCAAAAGAATATTATTCAAGGTAGCAGAATATCATTTAAAATATTTTATAAAATTGCGTTTCTTGCCCTAAAAAGTGCGGAAAAGGTAACTTTTTTGAGTAAGAAATAATAGCTCACTTGAATGTGACTTTCATTCACTTCTGTATGTTATGTAAAAATTGAAATTCGTAAGGCTAAAATTCAACCCTTCGCCTTTTAACCCAACATAGGCTTTGATTCCGTTCGGACCCGCCCAATAACTACTCCCCAACCGCCCAAAAACTAATTTTTCCAATTTAAAAATGTCTTTATTGGTGATATTTTCTCTCTTTCTTACATAAAAATGACTGACATTTTAAATTCTGCATTATTTTATCGAAATTTATATTTTATGATTCAACACCTATAAAATGTTAAAAAATATCTTTTAAATCAATATAACTTAAAACCTTCCACAGTTTAAAGGGATCCGTAATTCGCGTGAACTTCCTTTAAATGTTCTTTTGCAGTGCTCTGTGAATGATGCTTTGTAGGGGCAAAAAAAAAAAAAAAAAAAAAAAAAATCAATATACTAGTATATTGATATTATCGATATGCTTGTTTATTGATTTAATTTACATTACAAAAAAAAACATGTGTTTTCTGCTATAAATACTCTTCTCATAGCAAACCCTTACTTTACGTTGAATCTTCTGTAGACACGACATTTAGAAGTGCATGTAAATATTTTTGGAACGTAGTAGTGAAAAGAAGGTTATCTGCGTCCAATAAATTTTGTAGTATTTAGCAATCCAAAGATGTTTTGAGCAAATTGTAAGACAAAAAAAAAATTATATATGTATATTATATGAAATTTTTTTTCGTCTGAGAAATTGATAAAAACTCCTATGTCGTGATATAAAAACTATGCTACACAAATTAGTGGACGCGAATAGCCTACTTTAGTTCCAAAAAAATTTACATGGACTTCTAAATCTGGCATCTACAGGAAATTCAGCGTAATATAAAGGTTTGCAATAATAGCATTATTATTTGTAGAAAATGCGTTGTTTTTTTTTGTATAAACATGTTGTTAAAAAAAAGATATGAATATGTAAACATCTTCCTGAACAAGTTAAGTTACTTCTAAATACAGATTTTTACAGATGAATATGTAAACATCTTCCTGAACAAGTTAAGATACTTCTAAATACAGGTTTTTTTGGGCATTTCCATTATTTTTGGAAACCTCAAACGTGCATAAAAACCATATAATGAAGTTATTGTATTGCAAACAAAGATTTTTATGCATAAATGTAAATCTATATTATGCAATAAAAAAAGTTTTCTTCATTCAAACAAAATATTTTGGCGAAAAAGATATATTTACGTGATTACAGTTTAATTTCTTGATAAACATTGTATCAAACTTAAAAAGATTACATAAGCCTCTATATAAAGTTTAGACCCATGACTCATTTAAAAAAGAAATCTATCTTTACTTTTAAGAACTCTGTTATTTTACGTACTATTTGGAGTTTATGTAGATTTTTCGTAATCAACAAAAACTCCCTTGGAATAATCATGTACAAAAATATATAAATAGCAAAATAACGACATATTTACACTAAACGCTATTAAACTATAATAGCGTTTACAAATTAGCTATTAACAACCTCATTAAAACATTGAAACCCAGATAAGTCTTGCCAATATCACGCGTTTTCCATGAAACAGTAAATGCTTTATTCGACACCACCATCCGCCTTAAAAATACTTTAGGGAACTTAATAAAAATGTCTGCACTAAACATTCATTAACGGATGGGTAATTACGGTTCACCATAGCGATCTCTTGCCTTTTTTTTTTTCGCATCGTTGATCCTAGAAAAAGTTGACACTATAAATATAATAAAATAATCACTTAAAATTACTTTATTTAAATCTATAATTATGTTAAAACACTATAGTTATTACATGAATTCACACATGTAAAAGATTGTTATATAGAATCATATAGACAATATAAACATCTGCATATTAATATATTATATATATATATATATATATATATATATATATATATATATATATATATATATATATATATATATATATATATATATATATATATATATATATATATATATATATATATATTAATAATATAAATAAATATAAATAAATTGACGCCAAAGCTCGTTATTCTTAGGTCATAAAATCTCGTATTTCAAACGTTCAACAATTTTCAAACAAGTTGCAATCTTTCAA